GTCAGTCCTCGGACAGATACAAACAAACGAACGAACACGAACGGACAGAGTAGTCCGGCTCGCAACGGTGTGTGTGCGTGCTCTCCCTCCGACGGTGTGTGTGCGTGCTTTCCCTCCGACGGTGTGTGTGTGCGTGCTCTCCCTTCGACGGTGTGTGTGCGTGCGTGCGTGCGTGCGTGCGTTTGTCCGTTTGTCCGTTCGTCCGTTCGTTTGTTTGTTCGTTCGTTCGTGTTCGTGTCCGTTCGTTCGTTCGTTTGCTTGTTCGTGTTCGTTCGTCCCTCCGTGTTTGTGTCCGTTCGTTCGTTTGCTCGTTTGTTCGTATCTGTCCGTTCGTGCTCGCTTGTTCGTATAAGGTATACCTTCTCGGCCTATAGCCTCCTTAGTATATATCTCCCTGTCGTGTGTCGGTCTCTCCCGGTCGTGTGCTTCGCGGCTCGCCGCGAGTTCGTGGGTTGGCCGTGTGTATTGTAGCCGTCTCTGTTTACCTATAGAAAAGCTAAGAGAAGTAAACGTGTAATCGCCTAACGATCGAGATAACGTAAACGTGGCACGAGCAATACATATATATATCTAGACGCTATATTCGAGAGACGTGCAGTGAGTGTTGTGTTATTCATGTTATCCGTATATGTTGAATAAATCTATCAGTTGTATAAATACTATATAAAGACTTGCGTTCATTTCACTCTGGGTTTTCCTGCTACTGCATCACCGTCCTACCTTCGCGGTAGGAGCGAAAAATGATCCCGAAACAAATAAATTCCACGTGCTAACCACAGCGCGTGGGAAAATCCAGTGTGGTCACCCCTAGCGCCACCACAATGTGACCAATGCAAAAATTGGTACCAAGATTGTTGTATTGGCGATAAAGCAAGTGAAGCCTGGAAACTTCGCAGCTTCCAGTGCGGGTGCACGAAAATGCACCCTCTTCCCTTGAAAGAGTAAGCTTTACTAAGAATGCAATTAAACCTTGCTTTACTAACCTTGCTAAAATTCCACATCTACCCTTTTCAGTTTTCACACTTCTGGTAAAAAGAGAAATTATTTAAATCCAAATGATATTGTAAATAAAAATTCAAAGCAATGTCTGGAATCTGAAGAAAATGACTTATTTTAGTGAAACAAAATGTAGCTTTACATTGTATGAGTTAATAAATATACTGTAAAAGACAGTATATTCTCATTCAGATGTCTGTGATTTTGTTATACCATTCCAGGACATTCACGAGGTGTTAAATCCATGATATTTGCAATGTTTCAACGGTATGTGTGCCAATAGTCCTATTCAATATTGACATCTTAGATCTAATCAGATGAAGTTGTTGTAATGGACAAATATCCTGATAATTTTTCCTGCTTTTAATCTGTACATGATCACATGTAACATGCATTATTTATATTGTCATAACAAGAACAAATTATATTGCTGTACCTAATTTTTTGTTTCCAATTTCTAACGTGTCTATCTTTTGCATTGCAGAAACATACTCAGTAGGTATGTTCATGCTATGAAAAAAGGTGTGTGTGTGCATGTATGCTTGTGTGAAAGTTATTGTGTTTGTGTGTATTTGTTTGTGTGTGTGTGTGTGTGTGTGTGTGTGTGTGTGTGCGTGTTTACTTGTGTTTTTTACTATAAAAGAAAAAAAACAAAAACAAAAACACTGAACTCTGAGGTAAAAGAACAAATACCCACACAGGGAGACAAAGGGAGAGAACATGATCGCTTCGTTGCTTCCGAGCAATGCAGCGTGCCGTGCCGTGTATATACATGTATGCGTACAGTATAACTAGTATCCGCGGCCGCGCGCGCGGTCCATTGGCTAAAACATGGCGCCTGTGCTGAAGTTGTCGCTACTCTCTTTATGGAGGTAATCTAAGTTTGTGATTGATATTTTCAATATTGTCAGAATATATATTGTGTGAAATTAATTGATTCACATGACCTCTACACAGTACACTATTTTTCAGATGAATACAATTTCCTTACATCTATCTAGGATGGTGCTAATACTAGTTATAAATATTTATCAAATAAAAATGGTCTGGACAAATACTGGAAAAGCGAACTTATTAAGTTCAAATATGATGCCAAACCAACCGGTTACGATCCAGCCAACTTGAAAAGACGACCTAATTTGGAGCTGAATATACAGGCTTAAAGCCTACGTTCAGAAGCATCCCTAGGTATCCCTAGGTATTAAAATGTAATTGGTCTTTATGATGTTTTCTACCCTCATGAAAACACAAGGCACTCCAGGCTATCATGATGAATGCTACCGCCACTTTTGCAATATTACCGAGATGAACCGGGCCATTCGGAGGAATAAAAGGCAAAATAGTACAAATTACTAAATTCACTTGAATGTCTTCTCATATGCAAGAAATAAACAAAAAGAAGTACTTCTTACAATTGTGTTTTAAGTGGAAAATCAAGGAACACAATTCCAATTGAAAGTAGTAGTTATCCTCAAATAAAGGGGCAATTATGAGTTTTTAGTGCATGTCGTGATAAATCGCTGCAATCTCATTGGATAACGCAGCAGGCACTATGAAGCGATAGTGCCCGCCTGAGCGGGCACTATCGCTTGCGCGATGCATTGTTAAAAAAAATTATATAATCAATAAAAAATTCGAATTCCATTTTCCCTACCTGTAGCAGTTTTGCTGAGACATCGACAGGTGACGAGACCAGCGTTGTTATCAGTATGGAGCGCTCCAGATTTTCCACCACTGACGCTAGTGAATTCGTAAAACAGCAGCAAAGCAAGAACACAGCAGAAGCAACAAAGTTTTCAGTAAAAGTCGTGCGAGAGTTTTGTGGAGAAAGGGGAATGGCAAAGGACTTTCAAACGTACGAAGTGCCAGCAATGGCCAATCTATTGAAAGACTTTTTCTCGAATGTCAGAAATCAAGGCGGTAAAACTTACAGCAAAAGTACGCTCTGTGCCATCCGTCAAGGTATTCGACGATACTTACAGGAGCCTCCGCATGAGAGGAGCATCGACATAATTTCTGATCCCAGGTTTAAGAGTGCAAATCACGCTTTTAACAGTATGCTGAAGAAGGCTAGGCAGGAAGGAAAAGGCCAGGTACAGCACAAACGACACATACCTGCAGGTAACTATCGGCACATATTTTCGCAGTTTCATATATTCGTTGTCATGTACAAACCTCTCTGTCTCCCCCTCGCCCTCTCTCTCTCTCTCTATCTCTCTCTCTCCAACTCTCCAACTTGAATCCTTAGGT